TAAAGCCCATCAAACACTCACCAACATATGCAAGTCATTCATTTTTCAGTATACTTTCCTCTAGAATAATAAACACTTCATATATTTACATAATATAATTAATATCATTATTAAACCAAAAAAATAAATGATCATATGTACTTGTAAAACAAATCAAAAAATTCATAATAAATATCGTAATATCGGTCCATACGATATCTTTCAAATCACCGTCAACCTCGTGCCAATCATATATCCAAATACACATTTTACCTTTACCTTGTAATTCTACATAACCCTTAAAATCATGAACATTTCTACCATAAGCCTTCGGTTCTCGTATCAAAATTAACCGGGGAACGAACACCGTTTTCATGGGCTTTTTAAACCTTGGTACACATCGCGACACCTCTAGTTTTTCTTTTACTTTTTGTATTAACAAAGGTTAAAACAAATGTTATATGAGAGGTAATTGTGAAATCAACCATGTATGTGTAAATTAAGAAAAATAACAACATATAACAAAGACACCAACATGAACTTTAAAGCCACATCAAATAACACTTCATCTTAAATGATTCAGAACATAAAAACATACTAACTAGATATATGGAAGAGAGAGACCATATAATAATACTAACTAGAAACATATACTTAAGTAACAACATATATGGAAGATTTACGTACATTTCAACGGTGTTACCATTTCTATGAACATTTCTAAAACTAACACCATAATGTGTAACAATATTTCTATGAACATTTTAGTGGTGAGTCACGTACCTCAAACATGATGGTGGAGCTTCAATGAGTTTTGAAAAGAAATGATGTTCAAGTTGATGTTGGAAGAGTTGGCGTTAAAAAGAGATGATGTTCGAGTTGATGTTGAAAGAGTTTTGATGAAAATTGCCTAGGCTTTTTTTGAAGAGAATGATGATGAAGTTAGAGTGTTTATTGATAGGTAAATATAAAGTTAATGTTTAGTTCTCAGAAGTATTCATGCAATAGAACAAACACATCAATTTTTAGGCTAAACCGAGGGAATTTATTAATTGAAATTAAAAAAAAAAGTAGAAAAGTCCCATAGCACCATATTCTGGAAATTTATTTAAAATAACTATCACGTCAGTTTTTAGACAAAGCCAAGGTAATAAGTTAATTAATACTTAAATATAATATAAAATTAGAAATTAAAAAAAAGAGTTTGAAAATGTTGATGCAAAAGATATTACCCCTCGGTTGGAGGGTAATACAAATAAAAAATAAATAAATAATAGGAAAAGGAAAAAGGAAAGACACCATGTGACCATAAACCAATTAAAAAACAAAATATAAAATATAGTAACTGAGATTTGAAGCGAGCTCACACGTAGTTATATTCCATCGCTTTTGGTAAAAACTGAGGGTATAAGTTGTATATATTTAAGAAAATGATGGTGCTGCCAGGACATATACCTCGGTTATTAGTGGGTCGAGGTGAAAGTTTTGTGATGAAATGTATTATTTGTAGTAGTGATTTTACACCTTCAGACATTACGTTAGGAGAAATTTGACATTTTAAAATAAATCCTACATTATAAGTATTTTATAAATCAATCCCACAATCATGCATACACGTTGTCATTCAATAATAATATCAAAATAGAAGAACTATTGCGTATATCTAAATGCCAAAATGTCAAATACAAAATGTCAAAATCTCAATATCAACCCACAAATAACCATAATACAAAATGTCAAAATATAAAAATACAAAGTAAACCACAACTACAGCTTATATTTGAAGCCCATGTTCCTCTTCTGCCTCCTATACTGCAACACATGCCATTCATCTGCTAAAATAATATGTAGAGTAGCCATCTGAGGAGTGTCTCCCTCAAACTCTCCCCTAGCTAGGACCTCCATTCCAATAACCATAATACAGTGACAAACTGGCAACAAATTAATGACATAATCTGCCCTTGTCTGCTAATCTTCAAAGATCTCATGATAAGTTGGCCTAAAGGGACCTCCTTCCGCATCTGGTGCCATGTAAGGAAGTGACACTATATAAAATCATTAAATCTATATGTATATAATGCTCCATAGATGAGGAGCTGGCACATGATGCACATCCTTTAGGATCATACAATCATAACATTATGCAAATATCACACCAACATTCATGCGGAGGATAGTGGCAAGAGCAACAACAATTTAGTCTCTGGGTACATCATGCATATACTCAAATTATTGTAGAAATTGCCCAAGTAAATGGGGTACATAAATCGAGACACACAAGCTAACCATTCATATTACAAGGATATAACCTCCAAGGGTCGTACCCCACGGTGATCGATGTACAACATAAAATAAATATCAATCATCATGACGCAATTTAAAGCAACTCAAAATAACTCGGTCACTTAATTCCCTTTGAGCGGGATGATCGAGCACACGTGTGACAAAGCCTTAGTGTAGTCTTCCTCACATGCCCAACTACCAAGACATGAAAAATTATGGTGGATCCATGTCTGAAAATGATTAAGATGAAATATTAATAACATTGTAGCGCAAGTATTATGAAATTAATATCAGTAAGAGTGGAAGAAAATTACAGCAAATAGGCAATTATTTATAGTCATCTATCTCATATTCCACCAACAATCTTCAACTAACTTGGATTAGAGGTAAACCAAACAAATCCCCCCAGTTATACTCGTGAATCTTCTCCAAGTTAATGAAGTATCTGAGGCAGATAACATCGACATAACACTTTTGTCCATAAATATGGACGTGCCGACCAAAATCACGAGGTTTGTCCTCAATAAACATGCTATATGATATGGAACCTGTGCATTGCCCCCTTCAGAATCCATAATTGCATCCAAGTGGTTTTCATGCATATCCATTAGAAATGAAAATCTAGCATGACATCCTTTAGTGTCATTTATCTCCTGTTGAGCTTTTCTAGGGTAAAATACTAAATAAGTCACCTTCATGTCCAGTGCCTCAAACCTACTTGTTATGGATCAATTTAATAATCTTCTTGTGATCAAAAGATGTAGGAAGCATGATACACCATCAAGTGTGATGAACATCTCACCTATCAAAAGATGAAATGACGAGGCATGCGCATGCTATCTCTCCACAAAAGCAGGCAATAACCGATGGTTAATTAACCATACACAATCTTTCATAAATCTTGCAACCCATATAGCTGTAAGATAATTTAGGACAAACATAACATAAATCCTAAGCTCTAAATTATCATACTTATAAACTATTTAGATAATGCATGCATGTCATAAGAAAAGAATAATTAACTTACCGATGCAGTGAAGTTGAACTTTAGGAACATGCAATGCATAGGAGTAGAAACATGTTAGACTTTAATGCAATAAAGTACAAACTCCGAGAATGCTTGAAAAATGATGGAACAAGCTCCAAGAATGCAAATGAGTAGAATATTTGATTTTGCTCTATTTACATAAATGAAAATGGGAAGGGAGAGGGAAAGACATATATACTTAAACAGACGCGTTCGAATTCAATCTCGGTAGAAAATTCAGACATTAAAATTTAGATTATTTATAAATTCTGTGATTCTAAAATTGAATAAATGTGTAACGTGTTATAGCGCGTCCATAATTTATTATGCAAAATCTAAATTACAAATATATATGTACCATGTTAAAATTGAATATATGTGTAACGTGTTAAGAGCATCTATAGTTTATATATGTGTAACTTACAAATACAAATCTAAATTTTTTTTATCACTTGTTTTAACGTATTCTAAAAAGAGTTTGATTTTGTTGTGTATTATGTGAAATCAAATTTTAAAAACTTAGTCCTCTCATAATATTCCGCATAAATAAAAGATATGGGGACCGAAAGTGACAACTTATAGCTACATGTAGTGGGCGAGGTGAATCACGAAAACGACGTCGTCTTGGAACAGAGGCGATTTGCAATCGAATTGGAGTGGTACTGGTACCAACCAGCGATTTGATTCTCTGCTCGTGCCACTCTTACTCCCACTTCCAATCCGTTTCTACTTTCCCATTTTTTCGTGTAATCGGTATCTTCAATTGCCCCTTTCTCAACTGTTTCCTTTTTATTAGGGTTTGTTTATCCCCAAATTTTTGTATATGACACAATTTTCCGTTGATTTTCAATTTACCAGTTCATTTTGTTAGTCTTAGCTTGTTTTTGCTTAGTTAATTTTGAAGAAGAACTATTTGAATTGGGGGTATGCTAAATTAGTGAACTTTGATGCTCATCAGTTTGTACAGAAATTGAGATGCAGAAGTTAGTTTCAATTTATATGGAAAGCTATTGTTTTGAAAACTCAGATTTGAACTTGATTTGGTGAACTGTTTTGTCCTAGCTCCACAATTAGGATCTGGATTTATTGGGTTAAATAGAACAAGTAGTTACACACTTTAATTGATCTCGGCTTTGATCTGAGATCGGTCGACTCAAATTACAGGTTCACCAAGTCATTTTCAAATAGTCTTTGCCGTTAATTTGTGATAAGATGACCAAGATCACTAATTATGTCACACTCATTGTATGGAATTTGAATCTCCGTTATTATACCTCTATGTCCAAATGGAAAATACTTCCATCCATGATAGAAATTTCTGGGGTTGTTACCATCAAAACCCTAGTTAAGTGTGTTTAGGCGAGAGTAGTACTAGGATGAGTGACCTCCTAGGAAGTCCTTGTGTTGCATCTCCTTTTGGCTGACCTTACTTAATGAGATAAAGTTTGGTTGGTGTTGTTTAGTCACTGTAGGTGATCTCAGTTTGCCAGAAAAACCTTTTAGTGTTGTTGTTGTTGTTTAGTCACTGTAGCTGATCTCAGTTTGCCAGAAAAACCTTTTAGCGTTGCTGTTGTTGTTTGTTGTTACTGTTTTGTGGTTTTGTCCTACTTGCTTGTTTCAGATTTTATGTACTGAGTCAGTCATTAATTAATCACATTAAGGACTGAATGATGATACCTTCTGATTGGTTATGTACTTGTTGTGATTCAGAATGTGGAATTTTGCATCAAATTGTATTGCTGGAAATGCGGGATTGAAGAAGGATTCTCCAAACCCAACTCATTCCACTTCAGAATGTTCTGATGATGAAACCTCTGTTGTAGGAAGAGAGGAAGGGCTTGAATGCCCGGTATGCTGGGAATCGTTTAACATTGTTGAAAACGTGCCTTATGTTTTATGGTGTGGTCATACCCTCTGCAAAAACTGTATCTTGGGACTACAATGGGCTGTTGTGAAATTTCCGACGCTGCCGGTTCAGCTTCCACTTTTCATCTCCTGCCCGTGGTGCAACCTACTATCATTTCGTTTAGTTTATCGGGGAAATCTTAGATTCCCACGCAAGAACTACTTTCTTCTTTGGATGGTTGAGGGCATGAATGGTGATCGAGTAAAATCTCATTCAACTTTCTGTGGGGATAATCAACAAAATTGTACAAGCAGGGGCAACTTAACATTAGGAGGTCAAGAAAGCCATAGCAACCTTCAGAGGGGGCAAGTTCACCATCCAGATACATCGAACTCCAGCCAGCGTCAAGGTAGTACCGGTAATTACCTCAATATGGAAAATGCCCATATATCTCTTCGAAAGTCATTGATTTTCTTTGTCCAGTTGACAGCTAAGTTCCCATTGATCCTTATATTTCTTTTGATTATCTTGTATGCAATACCGGCCAGTGCAGCCATTTTAGCTATGTATATACTTGTTACAATCCTCTTTGCACTTCCATCATTTCTCATCTTGTACTTCTCATATCCTAGCTTAGACTGGCTTGTCAGGGAAATCGTGGCCTGAGATCATCATAAGCTAATTTTACCTCACTTTGTCCCATGATTTGCCACCAAACCTTTAGTCCTTTACAAGCTTTGTCGATTCTCTTCCGACATACAGCATTGCTCAATTTTATATAGTAGTATACTCGACTCGGTCTTGATTTCAGCTATGGTGGAGTTTGATTGGTTGGTACTGGGTAGGTACAAAAATCAGTTTTTGGCCCTACTACTTGATACCAACCAAGACTGGAATAGGGCGATGATAATGCCTGCGCCGTTTTTCTGAAGGCTAATATTTGTTTGATTCAGTTCCAGTTTTACTTGCGGACAATTGCGGTACTTGGTGACTACATTTATCAATGTCATGTCATGTTTTGTATGGATATTTCTTTTAATTCAGCTTATAGTTCTATGTTTGTAAATTGTATATAACAACTGTGTTGTTTGTCTAGTACATTTGAAGTACTATCTGCTTAATTTGAGACTGTTTTCTGTGCTTGGCTGCTACAATACAATTTCTGTAAATCTCTAGGATATGCTATATGTTTCATGTATAGCTGCATAATTTGAACGGTTTATGTTTGAGAAATGTATGTCTCAATTCAAGCACATTATCTATACAGGAAGAAGGCAGGAAAATATTTTTCCACATGAAAGTCATTTCATTTCATGTGTCGTCTGCAGTAAAAAAATGAACTGTTCTATGCTCATGCAACAAGCATGTCGCAACCTTAAAATAAACTTTGGTGGAAGACACAATGTTTGACGTCAAACTTGCTTTTAATACTGCTGAAAACATCTTTGACTTTTGTAAAAAAAAAAAATCTTTGAGAAAAAGTAAAGTTAGAAGGATTTTCACTATAGTAAAAAATGATTACAAATTCCTGCATATCTTCTTGCCAATCTTCAATATACACAAAACTTAAAACAACACAATATTGTGTCTTTAGAGAACAATGTCAATTGTTAATATTGATAATATTGGATTTATGCCCATGTTTATAATATATGTAGAATAAAATGACTGATAAAATATTTTTTTATCTATAAGAGTAAAAATTGTAATAAAAAAACAATGAGCACGCCATTTTATTTCACTTAGTTAAAATATTTCAAAAAAAAAATTTAGAAGCTAGTTTTGAAGATATAAATATAAATGATAAATACCTTTTTTTTTTTTCTGTCAAGAAATAATAAATACCTTTAAAAAAAAGTCTACAAGGTTGTAGAAGAATTAAGATGAGGTTCATAAACATCCTTGTTGACAAAATCCCAAGACTAAAATTCCACGTGTCAAAACCATATCCAATAATGTTTTTTTCAGTTCATGTACCCACCACAAAACCAGTGCCTTAGTTATACGATGATGACAACATTAACAAATTAAAAAGAAAATGGTGGCAACAATTTCTGTTTCTTCTCCAAATTCCACACTTTTGAAGAGCCCCATCTACTTGAAAGACTCGAGTTCAAATTTTGTTGGTAGTTCCTTAAAGGGTCTCTCCTTGAATCTCAAGCCAAGACAACAAAGAAGAGATTCAATCAATTTTGTTGTTGCTTCTTCATCCACAACCTCTTCTGCAACAACAAGCAATTCTAATGGAAGATTTTACTTCAACATCACTGGTTTTCCTTTTCCACTTGGTCCTTTCCTCAATAGGCTCACTATTAGAACTGAGGTTTGTACTATTTTGATTTGTCTTATATTTGTTTTTTTTCTAGGAATCTGATTTTTGAGACACTGATTGCTCTTTTTTGTTTTAATCATATGATGTAGGCTGTGAAGGGTAGTATATGGCTATTTGAACAAGAGCAGGCCTTAGGGTTCAGCAGTGTTTCAACAAACATTAGAATGACAGTTATCAAGCTCAAATCTGGTGGACTATGGGTTCATGCACCTATTGCTCCCACTGATGAGTGTGTTCAGGTTCCATTATGATTACCAATCTCTTCGAATATATACAAACTTGTAATGATGATCTCTTATGTAAAAAAATACTACAATAAGCTGCAAGAAAATTTCAATGGCTTGATCAAGAGCTTCGTAGCACTCACACTTCAGATTGAAGTCGTGTCTGGTGCTTGACACTTCAGATTGAAGGCGTGTCTGGTGTCTGACACACCAACACACTAAGTTACATTTAATCACTTCTATTTTCTTAAATTAGTATCAATGTCTACTTGTTAGGATCATGTTTGGTGTCTGTGTTGTGCTTCATAGATCAATAGTGATATTTCGTGAACAAAGGAATATAGAATCCACTATATTGATAGGGTGATTTTGTTGTACTATCTTAGCATGTGAATTTTTTTTTTGTTTTCTTGTAGCTAATAAAGGAATTGGGGGCTCCGGTCGAATACATTGTCCTCCCTACTTTCGCTTACGAGCACAAAATATTCGTCGGTCCGTTTTCAAGAAAATTTCCACGCGCTCAGGTATGGGTGGCACCAAGGCAATGGAGTTGGCCGTTGAACTTACCTTTAGAATTCTTCGGCATTTTTCGCGCTAAAACTTTGAAAGACGGGGATTTGTCCACTCCTTGGGCTAGTGACATAGAGCAAAAGGTTCTAAGTTCACCCGAAGTTGGTAATGATGATCAATAGTTTTTGCACATTTTCATACTAAGTCTATTTGGATTTACTTATTTCTTTTTGTCTACTAACATAAGCGCCTACGACACCATTTGAGAAAGTTTATCAAAACAACTTATGACATGTCTATAAGCTGTTTTCAGCTTATATTTATAAACACTTCAGGGTAGCTTATGAAAAGTCTTATTTGGTTCTGGTCTTAGGAATTGGGCCATATGTGGAAGTAGCTTTCTACCACAAACCTTCAAGGACACTGTTAGTTACAGATGCTGTTATTTTTGTATCAAGACAGCCACCTGAGTGTATTAACAAAGAGTCCCTCTTAGCATCTGCGAAAAACGGTTTGGCTGTAAAGATTCTTAGTAAAGGAAAGCAAGTGCCCGACGAACCCGTAGTCGACAACAAAAGAAACCTACAAAAAGGTAGCCGTTTAGTTCTCACGTTTCATGTTTTTTATTTTCACCTCAATTAAGCGCGTGTTTGTTTCTGTGGCGAACGCTGTTTTCATTTATTTCTAAAAATGCGTTCTTCTTAACCTGTCTTTTTCTCTTGCAGGATGGGAAAGAATGGTTCTACAAATCTTGTTTCTTGGTCCGTCTAATCTGTTAGAACCTAATGCTAGCTTTGAACAGATGTCGGAGAAGTTGATTGTTTCACCTATTGTCAAGACTCTTGTCTTCAGTAAAGTTCCAGAAAAGGTAATCTTATATCAATTTGATTTTATGTAAGTTCCATATATATAAGTACTTATATGATAAGCGCTTATATGAAAACATTTTTGATTTTGTTTTACGATGATTCAGGTAAGAGACTGGGTCTATAGCATTTCGCGAGATTGGAAATTTAGAAGAATCATCCCAGCTCACTTTGCCGCACCAATAAACGCAAGTAGGTCTGATTTCCGCGCCGCATTTGGATTTCTAGACGAGTTTTTGGACGACCGGTACGATACTTGGCCTTCACTTTCCCTTCTGTTCTCATCAATCAAAGGAAAAGCAGCAAGCTATTTTCCTCCTGATGATATGAGGACTCTATCATCACTAGACCAGTTTTTGGTCTCAGTTGGAGCTGTCAAGAAAACTGTTTCAGGAAGAAAGAGATAAGAAAATGACAATATAATCATTTGAAAATTGAAAAATTGCTTATAGTTTTTGTTAATTTAGGAGGTTGATTCTTGTTAAACAAAATGTAAATGTTTCACAATGGAATAGTTTTGTTGCAGTAACTGCAACTTGGTAAATGATACATTATGCATACATATGTTGTGCATGTCATATATCAGACAAAGTTGCTAGCTATGTGATATAATTGTTTTACTTTTTCTATGATTTCACAAACATACATATTTCACCACATTTTTCTTCCAACTCCAATATGTTGTATTAAAATGCTTCAACAAGTTATAGGTATATGATAGTATCCATGATCCTTAAATTTTGGGAATTTCTTATTTTATCTTATGAGGTCGAAGAAAAACATCTTATAAAAAATTGAAAAAGCTCTTCAAATTTTAGAGATGTTTTTAAGACGCACCATGCACCACTTTGTGGCGCACCAATTGAATGTCATTCTAAATTAAATTAAAAATTTATTCTAGAGATGTATTTTCAGGTGTTTTCAATAAATATATTGATATTTGAGTAATTTAGTGGATATTTCGGAGATGTATCTTTGGAAGATTAACACGAGATATTTAAAATTTCTATGATTTTTGCATGTTTGACATTTTCAGAGATGCATCTCTGGAATAATTTGATAAAACACTGAACTACATGATCACAAATTCATACTTGTTTTCTACTCCAAATCTTTAACGAAAAACCCTTCCATTCTCAATTCACATTTTCACTCCAAATCTTCAATCTTGTGTTTTATCACATTAAAGGGAGTAAAAGAAGTTGAAATTTTAAGTAAAGATCATTTATTTCGAGCCTCATTGCTTACATTAATCTTGTTTTCAGTCTAAAAAACAAGTTTATTTCGAAGATATATTGTTAGAGTCTGGTGTCTGCCTGTTTTTATTTTTTCAATATTTGTACTTATCGAGTGTTTTGTAACTATTTTTTATTAGATATGGTGCACCTCGATGTTTTTCTCAAATATGTTGTGTCTTTGTATGTCAAAAGTGTTGTGAAGGCAGGTGTTTTTCTCAAATATTTGTACTCATCGAGTGTTTTGTAACTATTTTTTATTAGATATGGTGCACCTCGATGTTTTTCTCAAATATGTTGTGTCTCTGTATGTCAAAAGTGTTGTTGTGAAGGCGGGTGTTGATAATCAATTTAAAAATGAGCAAGAGTTTGAATTTCGTGATCACATGCTTCAATGGATTCGTACGAAGGCCTCAAAACTGAGAACCGATTTGGTAATAGGAAGTTTTGATAATGGTTCAGATAGAAGATGTACATTTGTGATAATGACGTGTGAAAGAAGTGGGGAATATAAACCTCTCTCCGGAATTTTAAACGAGATGACATCGATTCAAAAAAATGTGAGTGTCCTTTTAAGTTGTGTGGTTATATGTTGGCAAATAAGAAATGAAGATTTAATGTCATACGTGGTTTACATAACCATGACTTGTGTAAAAAGTTTGCTGGCAATCCAGTTATGTGTCACCGCTGGCCGAAAGAGAAGGAAAGTGTTGTAGACATTGACATTGAATTTGGTTCAACCGAAAAATATACTTTCAACTTTAAAACGTAAAAGACTCGAAAATATCTCAAATATCAAACAAGTGTACAATATTCGATACCAAACTAATAAGGCGCTGAGGGGGGATAAAACTGAAATGCAATAACTCTTGGAACTGTTGAATGATAACAGTTATGTGTATAACACACCGTATAATATGTATCTAGAATGATATCATACAAGTGTTACTATTTGGTACTGATACAATTATAAGTGCCTATTGGCATCATTTATATGACCAATTAACAAATACATAATAGACAACATATGGTACAAGATATGAAAAGTGTCAAAAATAAAAGTCTAAGATCTAGGTACAATATCCTTCATTGTACACAATACACAGCAGAAAAATCACAATACAAGCTTCCCTTGAAACATCTATGCACAACACATTTGGCATACTAAACCTGCAAACAATACTTAAAAATAACAACAATATTGAGGTGAGATAATAATCTCAGTGAGTTCCCCTATCATGTGGGTTCGCTCGGCTCTACAGGGTTCTGATCAAATTCTAACTCAAGTCAAAGAGAAAAGGGAATAAGACTTGAGTCCACAAAGTTGTATAAAAACATGTCTCTTGAGTTTATCAACTCAAACAATCATTATTCGGGAAAAATGTAAACCGTAATGCAAGGGTGATTAGTCAAAATCGATCACAAGGATCTAAACAATCATCCGTCAGATATGGTTAATGAAAAAATAAGATCCCCATTGCACGAACTAACTATCTACTAGATATAATCAATAGATATCAGACATTCACTACATGGAATCCACCATCAGATATTGTCCATGGAATCTAGACCTCCACTGCGTAGAACACCCACTAATTAGATATTGTCAATGTACATTAGAGCTCCACTACATGGGCTAAACTCGTCATCAGATATAGTGAATAGATATCAGACCTCCACTAAAGGAATACACCTAGCCCTTTCCATAAGATATGGTCAATTAATACCGAACTTCCACTGTATAGATCTCATCATCCAATAGATATTATCCACGGGGTCCAGACCTCCACCGCGTGGAATACGCTTAACAGAGTTACAATTATTCATCAATTACCAGGTGATCATATTCACCCATCACATAATATTTCACATGTTCCATACGAAACACATTAATTTTTAACTACTACGGTTCTAACGACTACTTGTCCACTACACACACCAAGGCACCCTTGCGTCCAAGCATCGCCATCTAAGTTAATTTTCATAATCTAATAATCTTTATAATTCAATTGCCTAATTATATCCTAGGTTTCCTCACCCATCTTCATATTATTTTAGTCATTTTATTTCACAATCAACATCCAATCAACATATAGCATACATATTAGCATGTCACAATAATTCTTAAGCATATTCAAGTAGTTATGCACAAGCAAGTCACACATAATAAAAACAAGTATTTCACATACAACATTATAGCATATGAATTTTTACTACCATCTACCAAGAATCCTTGGTGGGTTCATGGTCTCTCCTTACCATTTAATATCCCATTGGATTATCTTTCCAATGCTTCAAGTTCCATATCTATCGATTTCTCGATTCTTGAATTATAGTGGAAACGAGAACCATACTATTCACATTCATTTCAATTTCATTTATATCCTATCAATAAATGGAATATATCCATGTTTCTACTTCACTATCACATATAGCATTAAAGTAGCTTTTCAACGCTTTCGACCATGCCTCATTTCGAGTTACGGTTCTCAAGTTACGGAGAAAACAAGAAAACAATATTTTTCATCTTGCTATTATGATCTCTCAACGAATTGAAAGCGAGCTAGCTCACCCGGCGAGACAGAAAAAACAAGAATTCCCAAAAGCATGTTTGGAAGGTGAAAATGACCAAATTCCTTCAACCCATATGGTTATAGTGCACCCAACAGTCCAAATTAGCATGGTTTAACATATATAGGCATGCAAATCATCAAATTCATCATGTACAACACAAAATCATCATATATTATATATTATCACACAAAACCTAATTCCCCCAAACTCCTAATTTTTTTTACCCCAAATGCTATACTAACTATGGAACTCATCTCTAGAGATGAAAATGACGGAGTTTGGTGAAGAAATTGGGATGGCTGATGATGATGAACTTCCTCTTCCTCTTTCTCTCTTCCTCTCTTCTTCAGTTTTCTTCTTCTCTTTTCTTTTCTTTTCTATCTATCTTTCTTTCTCTTTTCATTTTAATTCTTATCCATAATATATTTATATATATATATATATATATGTGTGTGTGTGTGTGTGTGTGTGTGTGTGTGTGTGTGTGTGTGTGTGTGTGTGTGTGTGTGTGTGTGTGTGTGTGTGTGTGTGTGTGTGTGTGTGTGTGCGCGCGCGTGTGTGTGTGTGTGTGCGTGTGTGTGTGTGTGTATGTATATGTATATAAAATACTAAGTAGTTATATAAAAATATCCTAATTGATATTTTGTCATCTAGTACCAATTGACCAATTATTAATGTTATCAAAATATCCTCTCTTGCACTTATTAATAATAGTATATTTCTTTTAATAATAATGGATTTCTTCAGAGTTCACTAGTTACTCTATTTGTCTAAAATGACAACATTTAGAACACTTAGGAGCTCTATTTGTTCCAACTTAGAAAAAGATAGAGTACATAGGAACGCAGTTGATCTCAAATGACATCCAATAGAGCATTTTCGGGAATATGGGATATTACATTATCCCTCCTTAAATTGAAATTCTCCCCGAAATTTCCTTCACTCAACAAATAACCTCTTCTTGCAACATCGTCTCAGGTCAACAATTGACTTTGCTTTAGTTAAAACCTCTGACATACTCAATCTTCTCACTTGTCTTCACCGGCCAATTCCCTTCTTTCACAAGTTCTTGAAACTTCCTGGTCTTCTGACACACCATTATGAAGCACTTGGTCTGTTTCCTTCAGGAATCCACAATTTCCTTTCCTTGCACTATGTTACACGAATATAATTACAACACCTTATCTTGGTTTGGATAATCAATACTTTACAAATCCTCATGAGACGATTTATTGGTTCCGTAACTTCATGCAACACTGAAGACTCTTCTCCTACGAATCCTTCTACAATTAAGACCAATTTATAATTCATATATTGATATCCTTATCGACTTCACTCGTCCTGATACTACATACCGCAAGCTTCTACACTTGATTCTTCACTTTTCTTGTAATACTCCAATAAGGTAACACTCTTAGCACGAGATGGTCTTATTTCCATTTTTACAAGTAACTATCTCTTCGATCCCATAAACTTGATTGAGCTCTTTCATCCGTCGCCTTCCACTGTTCTACTCCGATTCCCATAGTGGAACACCTCGAATTCCTAAGCGCTATTGGTTAGCTAACAGTCTGCATAAAAACACACTTATCCTCTAG